TGTCTTTGGCATGCCTTCAGAATGGCAAAAAGTCATGGAAGCTGTAGTTTTAAAACATCTGGGGATCTACCTTTTGGGCACCCCTGCTCTAAAGTACTTGTTACAATTCCACCTTCAATGACACATTGCTTTTAGTAATAATGTGGAATATTGCCCTTCTTACAAGGCCTATAGAAAGCTGTAACCGTATATCAAATGTATTAAGGATATAACATATCGCAGTGCAGCATTTTAGACAAAAGTACCACTTTTCTTTAATAACAAACTTATTTGTACACAGGTGCCATATAAATTAGTGTATATATATAATATGCTAATGATATGCATTTTGTTAGAGCTAAAAGGTAGATCACTAGATATTGCAAAACTACACCTGCCACAATGCTTTGCCAGCCTTTAGGAGATCTACCTTATCTGTCTATCCCTTCTCTGTGGCATGGAATGTCCCACTACATCTAGCAATAGTTTGACATTTTGAAGCCACTAAAAGCAAGCTCCACAAAGATAGGGATGGCTGCAAGTGCTGTCATTGGTCACTTAAAAATAAATTAAAATTAAAAATAGTTAAATAATTTAGCATCAAGATTTTCTGGTCAATTTGTATTCCATCCTCTTTTTTGTAACTGAGTTCCTGCTTATTCTCTGCATGAAATATTTTGTGTTTAGCTTTAATTATGATATTCTAATTAACTGCATATTAAATTGCAGCAACACGTGATATTCAATTGAAAATACAGAACAATGAAGTAAATTACTTTCACAGTCAACTAAAGATTGCAGTCAGTACCCAAGTATTACAGAACATAATTTGTGGGTACCTTTTTGCTAATTTATTTTTTAAATAGAAAGTTTAGTTCTATCCATTATATCTGCAATAAAATAAAACATTTAGGTAGGCAAGCATTCAAATTTTACAACAGTCAAACACTGTGGGGATTTATTCGCCAAACACCATATTATAAAGAAGTGAAATCTGATTAATTTTCAAAATTCAGGCAAATACAGCTGTGCTGTGACATAATATAGATGAGCCGAAGAATTTTTTTTCAAATTGTCAGTTTTTGCCTACATTTTGCAATGTACATTTTTTATTTCACTGCAATTCAGTGTTTAGTAAATGATCCCCAAATCCCCAGTGTTAGCCTAATAAATTAAATTAAAAACACAAGAATGAGGGCTAGGCATCTAATAAGAATGTTGCCTACTTATTATTTAGAGTTTTTAAATAAATCTGTCTAATCTAATTTAGAATACGAGCATTAGCAATTGCACTAAAAGAAATTGAGTCCCCGGTTATGGTATAAAATTTGAACAGTAAAGAGTTAATACATTTTTGGTGCAAACTTGAAATCTGCTCCTACCTTTGGCGTGAGAGATAACGGCAAACATTACAAGAACGTTTTTATTTAAATTTAAAGATTACTGGTCCAACTGGTGCATTTTTAATCTCACCTGTAGCCTGCAGACTATCCTGGATCACCGAAATCTCTGTACAGACTCCTTGTCCTTGCATGAGGGTTTGTAGTGGCTTTTCTGTGCCCCGGGATGGAAAACAGCGGAGACCTGAGCCACAGCGGGCAGTGTAGACCCCACAGGGTGCACCTTTTGGGAGGGCACAGGTGGCACAACATCCGCACCCAGGTTCTTTTACCAGCTCCTGGCACCCAGTAGGGTCCAAGCAGCGAATAAGCTTCTCCTGTGAGCAAGGAGGGCACTGGATGGCATCTTCCGCCAATCCGTGGGATACCAAGATGAGCAAAATTAGGGCAGGATTGCAGCTCCCGCACATCATGTGTGGTTAGTCTGTATGGCTATAGTGGAATGAGTGGGCACAGAGGTAGGCAGAACTTGCAGGTTGGTAAGCAATTAGCACAAAGGGATACGTGCTGAGTGAGATAGTGCAGTTTCTGCTCTGCTGCTCTCCATAGCAAGAATCAGGGGGATTGAGAATTTACCGTACTGGGCAGAAAGATGTGGACTTTATACTGGCTCTAAGCCACTCCTATCTTTAGTCCTACTGCCAGGAGACAGGGGGAGAAGGGAGAGGGGGAATGAGAGAGAGGGAGAGCAAAGGACTGGGATAGATGTAGAAGAAAAGAGAAAGGGAGGGAGAAATAAGCAGTGGAACAATGGCTGAAGGTATAGAAAAAAAAAAACTAAAAGGGATGCAAAAAAAATGTTACTGTGTTACTATTTCTTCTTTTAAATTATAAACTATTGTTCTATAAAGGGTCTCACATTTTCCCAAACATGATTCACATAAAAATATTATTCTACCTCATCCATTTCTTCACATAAAAATTTCCTTTAACATTTCTGACTGTTTTATAAAACCTTATCCTATAACTCCTTCTATTACTCCATATACACTCTCCCTATAACTCCTCCTATTACTCCATATAATCTCTCCCTATATCTCCTCCTATAACTCCACATATCCTCTCCCTATAACTCCTTCTATTACTCCATATAACCTCTCCCTATAACTCCTCCTATTACTCCATATAGCCTCTCCCTATAACTCCTCCTATTACTCCATATAACCTCTCCCTATAACTCCTCCTATTACTCCATATTACCTCTCTCTATAACTTCTCCTATTACTCCATATAGCCTCTCCCTATAACTCCTCCTATTACTCCATATAACCTCTCTCTATAACTCCTCCTATTACTCCATATAACCTCTCCCTATAACTCCTCATGTTACTACATATAACCTCTCCCTATAACTCCTCCTATTACTTCATATAAACTCTCTCTATAACTCCTCCTATTACTCCATATAACCTCTCTCTATAACTCCTCCTATTACTCCATATAACCTCTCTCTATAACTCCTTCTATTACTCCATATAATCTCTCTCTATAACTCCTCCTATTACTCCATATATCCTCTCCTATAACTCCTCCTATTACTCCATATAACCTCTCCCTATAACTCCTCCTATTACTCCATATAACCTCTCTCTATAACTCCTCCTATTACTCCATATAACCTCTCTCTATAACTCCTCCTATTACTCCACATAACCTCTCTATAACTCCTCCTATTACTCCACATAACCTCTCTATAACTCCTCCTATTACTCCATATAACCTCTCTATAACTCCTCCTATTACTCCATATAACCTCTCTCTATAACTCCTCCTATTACTCCATATAGCCTCTCGCTATAACTACTCCTATTACTCCATATAACCTCTCTCTATAACTCCTCCTATTACTCCATATAACCTCTCCCTATAACTCCTCCTATTACTCCATATAAACTCTCTCTATAACTCCTCCTATTACTCCATGTAACCTCTCCCTATAACTCCTCCTATTACTCCATATAACCTTTCCCTATAACTCCTCCTATTACTCCATATAACCTCTCTCTATAACTCCTCCTATTACTCCATATAACCTCTCCCTGTAACTCCTCCTATTACTCCATATTACTCCACCTCTCTCTATAACTCCTCCTATTACTCCATATAACTTCTCCCTATAACTCCTCCTATTACTCCATATAACCTCTCCCTATAACTCCTCCTATTACTCCATATAACCTCTCCCTATAACTCATCCTATTCCTCCATACAACCTCTCCCTATAACTCCTCCAATTACTCCATATAATCTCTCTCTATAACTCCTCCTATTACTCCATATAACCTCTCCCTATAACTCCTCCTATTACTCCATATAACCTCTCTCTATAACTCCTCCTATTACTCCATATAACCTCTCTTTATAACTCCTATTACTCCATATTACCTCTCGCTATAACTCCTCCTATTACCCCATATAACCTCTCCCTATAACTCCTCCTATTACTCCATATAACCTCTCTGTATAACTCCTCCTATTACTCCATATTACCTTTCTCTATAACTCCTCATATTACTCCATATAACCTCTCCATATAACTCCTCCTATTACTCCATACAACCTCTCCCTGTAACTCCTCCTATTACTCCATATAACCTCTCTCTTTAACTCCTCCTATTACTCCATATATCCTCTCTCTATAACTTCTCCTATTACTCCATATAACCTCCTCTCTATAACACCTCCTATTACTTCATCTAACCTCTCCCTACAACTCCTCCTATTACTCCATATAACCTCTCTCTATAACTCCTCCTATTACTCCATCTAACCTCTCCCTACAACTCCTCCTATTACTCCATATAACCTCTCCATATAACTCCTCCTATTACTCCATACAACCTCTCCCTGTAACTCCTCCTATTACTCCATATAACCTCTCTCTTTAACTCCTCCTATTACTCCATATATCCTCTCTCTATAACTTCTCCTATTACTCCATATAACCTCCTCTCCATAACACCTCCTATTACTTCATCTAACCTCTCCCTACAACTCCTCCTATTACTCCATATAACCTCTCTCTATAACTCCTCCTATTACTCCATCTAACCTCTCCCTACAACTCCTCCTATTACTCCATATAACCTCTCTCTATAACTCCTCCTATTATTCCATATAACCGCTCTCTATAACTCCTCCTATTACTCCATATACCTCTCGCTACAACTCCTATTACTCCATATAACCTCTCTCTATAACTCCTCCTATTACTCCATATAACCTCTCCCTATAACTCATCCTATTACTCCATATAACTCCTCCTATTACACCATATAACCTCTCCCTATAACTCCTATTACTCCATATAACCTCTCCCTATAACTCCTCCTATTGCTTCATATAACCTCTCCCTATAACTCCCCTAATACTCAATCTAACCTCTCCCTATAACTCCTCCTATTATTTTATATAACCTCTCCCTATAACTCCTCCTATTACTCCATATAACCTCTCCCTATAATTCCTCCTATTACTCCATATAACCTCTCTCTATAACTCCTCCTATTACTCCATATAACCTCTCCCTATAACTCCACCTATTACTCCATATAACCTCCAGGACCGAACTGGGGTTAAAAAACAGCCCTGATAAAAAATCTATGCCAGCCCCATAAGTCATTGCACCATTTATTGTCACATGTAATATGTAAGGCTTTGTCTTGCCACCCTAGATGACTGAGTAATATATAAACACATTATATATATGTATGTATATATGTATATATATATTTTTTTTGTTGTTGTTGTTGTTGTGTTTATTTATTACTCAATCATCTGGGGTGGCATGACATAGTCTTACATATTATTGGTTAATATATATGTAACGGATCGCCTGGCACCCCGACTGGGTACCTCCGTTGAAGGATGCTCCTAGCATTTCCTGAGGACTCCAAGCACTCTGGCAGACACCAAAATCAAAGAACCGGAGAAGCGTATACCTTCTCTCAAGCATATGAATGCTGTAGACAGTTGAATAGGAACCATACGAATAGGTTCACTCTCCTAGCAGTCAAACTGGAACAGCATACAATAAATCCTTCCCCCAATAATGAGACGACACTTCACTTTGAGGGTTAAAACAGGAACTCCCTGTACTGTCACATACAGTCTCTTTTATTCCCAATCCACAAACATAGTACAGCCCACAGGGCGTTACAAAACAACCAATCAATCCATACAATACACCCAGACACTCCCACACAAAATCCTCCCCTCTGCCTGTGATATGATTACTGAACACAATGGGTAATCTCATTATCACCGGCAGAGGAATACAGTTTTTACACAATATTTATAACTTCTAAAATATACATGTCACAAACATAAAACATACATTTTCATAATCAATCCATTCAGGGGAACAACATATTAAAAAAATGGCACGAATCAGACCAGGGGTTCAAAAGTTAAGGGAAAGTCCTTTGTGACTAAATGAAGCATGGCTTTCTGGCCCAAACCAGTTTCAGAGTCTTCTATCCTGGAGATAATTGAGAGTAATTCAATTATCTCCCAGGACAGACACAAGACTCCATTATGCACATGGTGAGCACAAAGCATTAAAATATTATAAAATACACAAAGTCACATTTTATACATAAAACACAGACATGTTACATATGCCCAGATAGCTGGGATCTGAGCGCACAAAACTACCGAATAGCGCTCAGATCCTATTCACACAGTTCAATTGCCATGGAGCCGAAGTCTTTAACTACACGAATGGGCTCCATGACATAGCTATCTGGGTTAACACATTCACATAAAGTCTGGTCCATAGTCCAATGGCAAGAGGCGGGCAAGCAGCCCCCTCCAAGGACACATGGCGAGGCCGGTTTCGCCACAATATATTTTTTCTAATATCAAATATTGGTCCTTTCAGAGTCAAACATTTAATTATACAGTAAGCATACTCACATGCAGACACAGACTATCTTACTGACACACACAAGCTCATTGATACACAGCCTCATAGACAAACAATCTCACTGATATACATAAGCTCATTGACATAAAAACACAAGCTCACAGATGCACACAAATACGCTCACTGACAGACAATCTCACATTGTACAGACAAATGCTGACATGCACAGACTTACTATAGACAAGCTCACTGTCCCACACACACATGCTCACTGACACACACATGCTCACTACAGACAAACTCACACACATATGCTCACTACAGAAAAGCTCATTGATAAACACAAGCTTCCTACAGACAAGCTCGCTGACACACACATGCTCACTACAGACAAGTTCACTGACACACACATGCTCACTTCAAAAAAGTTCAGACACACACATGCTCACAACAGACAAGCTCAAAGACACACACAAATTTTCATTACAGACAAGCTCACTGGCACACACATACAAGCTCACTCACTAGCAGCCACACACACAAACTCACTCACTAGCAGGCGCCCACACACACAAACTCACTCACTAGCAGGCACCCACACACACAAGCTCACTCACTAGCAGACACACACACGCATGCTCACTCACTAGCAGGCACACACACAAGTTCACTGACTAGCAGGCGCACACACACATACACAAGCTCACTCACAAGCAGGCACACACACACACACACACACACAAGCAGGCACACACAAGCTCATTCACTAGCAGACAGAC